ATCCTTTATCAATATTAATTTAATAAAAAACTCACTATAGGCACCTGAAGTCCTTAAAGAGCTTGATCATGGTAAACCTGTAGATATGTGGGCTATAGGTGTAATCACTTACTTTTTACTATGTGGTAACATTCCTTTTGGGGATGGTGAATTGATGGCAATAATTCAGGCTGATTATAGATTCGAGCCTCAAGAATGCTGGGAAAGAATATCTGAAAGAGGTAATATTGATATTGTATATTATGAAAAATTATCTAATTTAATTTTAAATTTTATAAACTAATATTTTTAAATAGCAAAAGATTTTATTAGCAAATTATTAAATGTTGATCCCGATAGCCGTTTTACTGCTCATCAAGCACTTAATCATTCCTGGCTTTGCCTAATCAAATTGGTGATCCACCTCGTCGCTTTAATGCTCGTAGAATTTTCAAAAAAGCTGTCAATACTATTAGAGTAATCAATGATCTCTCTCATGCAAATAGTTCGAATATTGTTAATTTATTAGAAGAGTCGAGAAAGGATGCGGATGAAAATGTTGTTAACGTACTATATTTTGAATAATTTCATTGAAACCTCTATAAACTCAATTTTAATTTGATAATTTCCTTATGTTGTTGTGATTAATTTACTTATTACATGTTGTGATATTGCGGATAGCTTTATTTTCAAAATTATTTTACCGTATTTACAAAACTAATTTATGTTCAGTAACATGGAGAAATTAGATTAAAAATAATTATTAATACTCTATTACTAGGGAGAATGTCATCGCATATCTACTGACATTTACTAAATACAGTATGATACTTTTTGGATTAGTTGGATCTCTAGTAATTGTATTATAAATATTATAATATCAATACAATTTTTACTTCACCCATTAAACAAATGCGAGTGGGTTGATGACCTTTACACTTATTCATAAAAATTCATAAAATACGTCTGAATAGTATCTAATGTTGATGATTAATGCTCATTATATTTATTTAAACCAATGATGCCTGACGAAATCTTTGTCAACAATTTCTGATTGTCGAACTATGACAATTAATAAAGCATAAGACTTTTTTTCTTTTTCTTTTTTCTCTATGTAGATTCAAAATTCTCTAGTGAGTGGTTTTGCTACCAACTTTAAATAAGTTAATTTAGGATTTAAATTTAATGATATTAAGATATTCGAATTAAGAACAATATTCGGAAATAAATAGTAGCTTTAAAAATCGAAGTGTTTGGTAAGTCTTAACTTAAAACTTTATTGAAAATGAATTGAAGTTTTTAAATATCACATTTTCAGTGATTTAGATATTGAACCCAGGTAACTCATCTATTTGCTGGTTCACCCGGGTCATTTCAAATAACTTGAATAACTGGGTAATCCAATTTTCATGTACAATTGACCAATATGATACTTAAATAGTCAACCTTTAGAGTCCGTTTCTTAACAAACATACCGATTTGACCGTTTTCCTATATAATTTCAGAACTTTTTTTTGTCTTGACAATATTATTTTTCCGACATTTGCTATTATTCATTTATTTATCGATTTATTTTTTATCCTCGACAACTTATTCAAATAATTTATTAATCAAGGTATTTAAAATAAGCATATCTAATTTCTTTTTATTCACACTAATGATAATTTATTCTATTCAACATTGATCACGTTGGGTATCAACTAGAGTATTAAATTAAGAAATCGGGTTTCATTTTTCCTGATTAATATAAATGTATACAATTAAATCGCTATTTGTAAATAATATTTTTTTTGAATTTCCTATGCATAGCGTTATGTTTTGGAGCGCCGTATCAAACGGCACAACATGTTGCTCAAATTACAAATTTGCACGCCGAGGACGAACAAAAAATTTCCAAATTAAATTTTTGATATGATCTTTATAATATTTACGCAAATGCATCAAAATTTTGTATAACCTTTGTGTAAAAATCTTTGCGTAAAGTTGAAGAAAATTCAAAATGCACATCAAGATGTTAACTTTTGTGAAGTATTGTAGAAATTTGAGCAAAGATATCTTAATGACCATCTAATAAAATTCAAAAGGATTTTTTATTATGATTTTACGAACACATATAATCAAAATAATCGAATTCTGTTAAGTGCTAATCAAAATATCTTCATTTAATGTTAAAAAAAAAAATTATAATCCATAACCACGAACCAAGCATGACCACCCAAATCAGTTACGTACGGAGTTTAAATCATTTTCCGATTTGATATTATTAAC